GATTCCCGGTGGAGGTGGAAACAAATGGGCAGAGCCTGAGCTTTCACCCTGATGCTCCTGTTACCTAGCAGTAAATCGGTACCTGGGAGTTAGACAGCTGCTACGGGCTGCTTCCTGGGGGTGTGTGTAACAAAAAGAAGGCCTGGTCGAGGACCGGGCCGCGGAGACGGTAAACCCCGAAATCATCTCAAGAGAACCTCATCCTGTAACTACACTTAGGTAATTACACCAAAGTAGTTGCGCCGACAGAGGAGCTGTTGCAGCGACTCTAGCCTAAGGGGCCACTCCGACTCTCCTAACCAACGGGAATGTCTTAGGTGCTAGTTGTCCACCTGGCGGGACAGTCTGAAGGCATCGCAACTGCCGATTGTCTCAGGGTTCGAGTCCCATGATCAAGAGACATCCTGTGTGACGCGTGTATGTGACTTTGAGTCCACCATCTGACCTCTCTTACTCCAAAGACCTGACCTCCTTTAATCCCTTTGCGGCTTGCCTGTAGTCCCAAATGCATATATATATATATATATATATATATATATATATATATATATATATATATATATATATATAATATAGTCCTCTTTTTATATATTTACTTGTGTGGAGTATTGGATTGAGGCAGCTTGAACAACTGTCCTGATTCCGCCTTGAATCTTTAGGATAAAGTGCTTCTTTACTCATCCTGAACCCATGAGTATTGTGTACATCTCGATCATGGCCTCTTGCTCTCTTGTTATGCTGTGTGTGCTATGTGCCTGCACTCTCTGGTATTGGTCTCCTTACTTGTGTGTCGAGTGTGTGTTGAGTGAATATGATATAATGGATTGAGTGGAGGTGTCGACTGCGTGTTGAGTGCGTGAGTATACACCTGGCTGGCGTGTGTTGGCAGGTGCTGGGGAGGAAGGGTGTGTGTGTGTGTCCAGTTGAATGCCTAGATGAATGACGCAGTCATGCTGCATGTGCCGGCTTTGGGACGCAGTCACGCTGCATGCACTGGCTTTGGGACGCAGTGACGCTGCATGCACTGGCTTTGGGACGCTGCATGCACTGGCTTTGGGATGCAGTTACGCTGCATGCACTAACTTTGGACGCAGTCATGCTGCATGCGCCGGCTTTGGGACGCAGTGACGCTGCATGCACTGGTTTTGGGACGCAGTGACGCTGCATGCACTGGCTTTGGGACGCAGTTACGCTGCATGCACTGGCTTTGGGACGCAGTTACGCTGCATGCGCCGGCTTTGGGACGCAGTCACGCTGCATGCACTGGCTTTGGACGCAGTTACGCTGCATGCACTGGCTTTGGACGCAGTCACTCTGCATGCACTAACTTGGGACGCAGTTACGCTGCATGCACTGGCTTTGGGACGCAGCATTAGGCTTTACAAGTGTTATATCATGAACTTCGTCGTATCTTGGTCACCCCGAGACCAAGTTAGGTGCTGTAGTGAGGTTGTGGATCGTGTTTATTTAGGTTTAATTCATTTTAATGGATGCGTCAATTACTGAGGCGGTGTTAATGAGCAAGTCAAGTCTGGCCCCCAAAGCCCACCCTCAGGTATATTCCAGGTATGGTGTGGATGAGTAGTGTGGGGGGGGGTGATGGGTGAGGTTTAGTGGGGGCTGGACTGTGGGTTTCAGAGGTTGAGGGTGAAAGGAGATACCCAGAGGCAGTACCTGGGTATTGATGCGCGGAACGCCAGGTACAGGGCTGTGTGGGGTACCAGGTGTGGTTCTCAGGTAGGGATGTGGCCTGGTAGTCTATACCTGGTAGCCTACGGTTGGTAGTCTTCGGTTGGTAGTCTTCGCCTGCTAGCCTAAGGTTGGTAGCCTTTGCCTGGTAGCCTAAGGTTGGTAGCCTTCGCCTGGTAGCCTACGCCTGGTAGCCTACGCCTAGTAGCCTACGCCTGGTACCCTACGCCTGGTACCCTACGCCTGGTACCCTACGCCTGGTAACCTTCGCCTGGTAGCCTACGGGATAATAGCCAGTATCGTTGTTGGGCCTAAGGCCTCATGTCGTGTGCGAGGGAGAGTACCTTTCTTGCGTCTACCTGGTGTGGGAAAAATCTACCTGCGATGTGCGAGAGGTACTGAGCGTCCTACCTTGTCTCCCCAATCATTTCATCCGGCCAATCCACCCCTGGATTGGGCGGATGAAATGATTTCGGCTCGTTCGGCTCTGCGGCTCGTTTTTAACTCAGTATGCATCATGTTGGGAGGATTTGTGTACTCAAATGGGGTACAGGAGACCGGGAGGTGTCTCCTGTACCCACCTGTATGTTGCAGGGAGTGCAAAATAGCTCCGTTGAAAAGCAGAAGTGCACTAGGTACGTTGAGAGAGAACTCTTTATCGCCATCAGAGGTCCGAGACTGTTCAACACTCTCCCTCCACATGTTAGAGCCATAACTGGCCGCCCACTCACGGTGTTCAGAAGATAATTTGATTAATAACACCTCTAAAAGATACCTGATGAAGCAGGCTGTGTGATGCGAGCAGCAGCGTCCAACAGCCTGGTTGACCAGACCAACCAGGAGGCCCGGTCAGTGACCTTGTGGCTGTAACCAGCGCTGCGACGAGGGGAAAACAAGCAGTAAACTCTGGCTGGGGACTTAGTGAACGATCAAATTGATTCCGTGTTGCTGGCCTGTGGCTCGTTAGTCTGCAGGGTCGTTCCCAGGGCCCAGGGGGGGGGGGGGGAGCGTCAACAACACCTCCACATCATACCCCCAACATCCTCGCACACATCTTCCCCAACATACTCACATACGCCATCCCAACATACTCGCATATTTCATCCTAACACGGCGGTCGTTAACTGCTACAGGCGTGGCAGCCATCTAGTACACGGTCGTGATGTGGTCGTGGCAGCCTTGTCTATGGTAGCCACGGTCGTGATGTGGTCGTGGCAGCCTTGTCTATGGTAGCCACGGTCGTGATGTGGTCGTGGCAGCCTTGTCTATGGTAGCCACGGTCGTGATGTGGTCGTGGCAGCCTTGTCCATGGTAGCCACGGTCGTGATGTGGTCGTGGCAGCCTTGTCCATGGTAGCCACGGTCGTGATGTGGTCGTGGCAGCCTTGTCCATGGTAGCCACGGTCGTGATGTGGTCGTGGCAGCCTTGTCCATGGTAGCCACGGTCGTGATGTGGTCGTGGCAGCCGTGTCCATGGTAGCCACGGTCGTGATGTGGTCGTGGCAGCCTTGTCCATGGTAGCCACGGTCGTGATGTGGTCGTGGCAGCCGTGTCCATGGTAGCCACGGTCGTGATGTGGTCGTGGCAGCCGTGTCCATGGTAGCCACGGTCGTGTTGTGGTCGTGGCAGCCGTGTCCATGGTAGCCACGGTCGTGATGTGGTCGTGGCAGCCGTGTCATCCTTTGCAGATGATACAAAAATCAGCATGAAAATTACCTCTGCGGAAGACATTGAAAAACTACAAGCAGATATCAACAAAGTTTTTGACTGTGCAGCAGAAAATAACATGATGTTTAACTGTGGTAAATTCCAGGTACTCAGGTACGGCAAAAATGAGGATCTGAAACATAATACAGGGTACAAAACACAATCAAATCTGCCCATAGTAGGAAAACAGCATGTCAAGGATTTGGGAATAATGATGTCCGACGATCTAACGTTTAGGGAGCATAACCAAGCAATATTGCGTCAGCCAGAAAAATGATAGGATGGATTACGAGAACTTTCAAATCCAAGGATCCTATCACAATGGTTGTACTCTAAAAGTCACTTGTGTTGTCCCGTCTCGAGTACTGCTCAGTACTCACTTTCCCCTTCAGAGCAGGAGAGATTGCTGAAATAGAGGGAATACAGAGAATATATACGGCACGCATAGACGAGATAAAGCACCTAAATTATTGGGATCGTCTCAAAGCTCTCCAAATGTACTCACAAGAAAGGAGACGAGAGAGATACCAAATAATATACACATGGAAAATACTGGAGGGCCAGGTCCCAAATCTACACAGTAAAATAACAACATACTGGAGTGAACAACATGGAAGAAAATGCAGAATAGAACCAGTGAAGAGCAGAGGTGCCATAGGCACAATCAGAGAACACTGTATAAACATCAGAGGTCCGCGGTTGTTCAACGTCCTCCCAGCGAGCATAAGAAATATTGCCGGAACAACCGTGGACATCTTCAAGAACGGGAGACATCTCCCGTCACGCAGGGTGCAATCACACCTCCACAGATCTCCAGTATCAGCTCTTGATACTGGTAATGGCTCAAAAGGGCCACCACTTACGGGCTATTCATCCCCGTGCCACCTCTTGGGTGGCTTAATCTTCATCAATCAATCATCATCTTCAAGAGGAAACTAGACTTTTCTAAAAAAAAGTGCCGGACCAACCGGGCTGTGGTGGGTATGTGGGCCTGCTGGCCGCTCCAAGCAACAGCCTGGTGGACCAAACTCTCACAAGTCGAGCCTGGCCTCGGGCCGGGCTTGGGGAGTAGAAGAACTCCCAGAACCCCATCAACCAGGTGTCTACAAACGGAAATTAAGTCCCCCATTATCCGGATAGGTTCCAGTGGGATGAACCACGACCAAGTGCCCTGGTGTGGTGCAGGTGTCTGCACCATACCTGCACAAACCAAACACCACACCTGAACCACGTGGTTCAGGTGTGTAATCTGTACACCTGTTGATTGACAGTTGAGAGGCGGGACCAAAGAGCCAGAGCTCAACCCCCGCAAGCACAACAAGATGAGTACATATGCATACATGTATACCTCTCCACACACACACACACACACACACACACACACACACACACACACACACACACACACACACACACACACACACACACACACATCATGTATATAAATAGAAATAATTTAAATATATATATTTAACATTGATAATAATACAATTAAAATAATTCTATTAACCTTTATTATTATTATTATTATTAAAAATACAAGGTCACAAAAGCTATGTTGTGTGAAGCCTGTAGTGGCCCTGGCTATGTCCCCCTATCGCCACCTCAGACATAGATGACCCTGTACCGTCTCCTCATATCAAGAGCCTTGGAGCAGACTGTTGTCAGTAGCGTCATCCCGGGTCGTTGGTGTTGCCGTGGCTCCAGCGCCCGAGTCATGTACAGGCGCAGGGGGCAACGGGCGCTGAAGTTGCAGTACTGAGCGGAGAAGTGGAACATCGTGGCGATGCTGTAGACATCAGCGGCGGGTGTACATGGACGGTTCTCCAGAACCTCGGGTGCGATGTATGCGCACTGGGTACCCTCAGGAAAGTCGGCCTGTTCCCCAATGCGCATAGCCAAGCCGAAGTCTATAATGGTAGCCTGGATCCCCTCACTCGTGTGGTGTACGCAGATATTATCTGCCTTTATATCCACGTGTACCCATCCCCGAGCATGGATGGTCTCCGTGATCTGGCACACCTGACGTAGGACCTTTAGACACTCCTGCACAGACTGGCCCCGCTCGAGGACACCCGTCCAAGTCTCGCCCGAGTATTCCGTAATCAAGGTGAGGGTCTCGGGGCAGACGCCGAGCAACTTCTGCACACCGACCAGTCCTCGCAACGCCGCCAGAGCCTCTATTTCTGCGAGTAACGAGTTGATAAACCATGGCAAGTCGACACACGTCTTGGCGACCCACCAAGAGGACCCAACGGATGCCAAAGAACAAGTGCCGTGCGACCCGGATCCCAGCGTCCGTGTACGGTCCTTATGGAAGACGGACTACAAGAGGAGCGGGTCGAACACTGCTACCTGGAGGCGCTCACACGCCTCTCTCAGGCGGGCCACACTTGATGAGGACTCCATCTTGGGTACCAATGAATATCCTTCACAAACTTTAGCAATGCAGTTTAGCCTCCTGGTATATATATCCGATATAACAATAATTTAGTCAAGATGCTGGTTGGGATTACCTGGTGAAGATGCTGGTGGAGATTATCTGGTGAAGATGCTGGTGGAGATTACCTTGTAAAGATGCTGGTGGGGATTACCCAGTGGAGATGCTGGTGGGGATTACCTAGTGAAGATGCTGGTGGGGATTACCGAATCAAGATGCTGGTGGAGATTACCTTGTGAAGATGCTGGTGGAGATTACCTTGTGAAGATGCTGGTGGAGATTACCTTGTGAAGATGCTGGTGGAGATTAATTTGTGAAGATGCTGGTGGGGATTACCTTGTGAAGATGCTGGTGGAGATTACCTTGTGAAGATGTTGGTGGGGATTCATTTGTGAAGATGCTGGTGGGGATTACATAGTGAAGATGCTGGTGGGGATTACATAGTGAAGATGCTGGGGGGGATTACATAGTGAAGATGCTGGTGGAGATTACCTTGTGAAGATGCTGATGGGGATTACATAGTGAAGATGCTGGTGGGGATTTCATAGTGAAGATGCTGGTGGAGATTAATTTGTGAAGATGCTGGTGGGGATTACCTTGTGAAGATGCTGGTGGAGATTAATTTGTGAAGATGCTGGTGGGGATTACCTTGTGAAGATGCTGGTGGAGATTACCTTGTGAAGATGCTGGTGGAGATTACATGTGAAGATGCTGGTGGGGATTTCCTTTTGAAGATGCTGGTGGGGATTACCTTGTGAAGATGCTGGTGGAGATTACCTTGTGAAGATGCTGGTGGGGATTACCTTGTGAAGATGCTGGTGGGGATTACCTTGTGAAGATGCTGGTGGGGATTACCTTGTGAAGATGCTGGTGGGGATTACCTTGTGAAGATGCTGGTGGAGATTACCTTGTGAAGATGCTGGTGGGGATTACCTTGTGAAGATGCTGGTGGGGATTACCTTGTGAAGATGCTGGTGGGGATTACCTTGTGAAGATGCTGGTGGAGATTACCTTGTGAAGATGCTGGTGGGGATTACCTTGTGAAGATGCTGGTGGAGATTACCTTGTGAAGATGCTGGTGGGGATTACATAGTGAAGATGCTGGTGGGGATTACCTAGTGAAGATGCTGGTGGGGATTACCTTGTGAAGATGCTGGTGGGGATTACCTTGTGAAGATGCTGGTGGGGATTACCTTGTGAAGATGCTGGTGGGGATTACCTTGTGAAGATGCTGGTGGAGATTACCTTGTGAAGATGCTGGTGGGGATTACCTTGTGAAGATGCTGGTGGGGATTACCTTGTGAAGATGCTGGTGGGGATTACCTTGTGAAGATGCTGGTGGAGATTACATGTGAAGATGCTGGTGGGGATTTCCTTTTGAAGATGCTGGTGGGGATTACCTTGTGAAGATGCTGGTGGGGATTACCTTGTGAAGATGCTGGTGGGGATTACCTTGTGAAGATGCTGGTGGGGATTACCTTGTGAAGATGCTGGTGGGGATTACCTTGTGAAGATGTTGGTGGAGATTACCTTGTGAAGATGCTGGTGGAGATTAATTTGTGAAGATGCTGGTGGGGATTACCTTGTGAAGATGCTGGTGGGGATTACCTTGTGAAGATGCTGGTGGGGATTACCTTGTGAAGATGCTGGTGGGGATTACCTTGTGAAGAATCTGGTGGAGATTATCTAGGATGGGATTAACTGGGATAGGACGGAAGGGGGGAAGGAATGGTGCCCAACTTGGACAGTCGGGGATTGAACGCCGACCTGCATGAAGCAAGACCGTCGTTCTACCGTCCAACCCAAGTGGTTGAGCAAGGTAATGCTTGAGGTCGAGTAGTTATGATGCCTTTAGTTTGGTAGTTAAGATACCGGTAGTTTAGTAGCTAAGATGGTGCTGGGGGTTGATTAGTCAACATGGTGCTGGGGTTGAGTAGTCAAGATGGTGCTGGGGGGTTGATTAGTCAAGATGGTGCTGGGGGGTTGATTAGTCTGCTGGGGGGTTGATTAGTCAAGATGGTGCTGGGGGTTGATTAGTCAAGATGGTGCTGGGGGGTTGATTAGTCAAGATGGTGCTGGGGTTGAGTAGTAAAGATGGTGCTGGGGGTTGATTAGTCAAGATGGTGCTGGGGGTTGATTAGTCAAGATGGTGCTGGGGGTTGATTAGTCAAGATGGTGCTGGGGGTTGATTAGTCAAGATGGTGCTGGGGTTGATTAGTCAAGATGGTGCTGGGGGTTGTAGTCAAGATGGTGCTGGGGGTTGAGTAGTCAAGATGGTGCTGGGGGTTGAGTAGTCAAGATGGTGCTGGGGGTTGATTAGTCAAGATGGTGCTGGGGGTTGATTAGTCAAGATGGTGCTGGGGGTTGATTAGTCAAGATGGTGCTGGGGGTTGATTAGTCAAGATGGTGCTGGGGGTTGATGCTGGAGGTGTCAGTAGTCAAGATGGTGCTGGGGGTTGATTAGTCAAGATGGTGCTGGGGGTTGATTAGTCAAGATGGTGCTGGGGGTTGATTAGTCAAGATGGTGCTGGGGGTTGATTAGTCAAGATGGTGCTGGGGGTTGATTAGTCAAGATGGTGCTGGGGGTTGATTAGTCAAGATGGTGCTGGGGGTTGATTAGTCAAGATGGTGCTGGGGGTTGATTAGTCAAGATGGTGCTGGGGGTTGATTAGTCAAGATGGTGCTGGGGGGGTTGAGTAGTCAAGATGGTGCTGGGGGTTGATTAGTCAAGATGGTGCTGGGGGTTGATTAGTCAAGATGGTGCTGGGGGTTGATTAGTCAAGATGGTGCTGGGGGTTGATTAGTCAAGATGGTGCTGGGGGTTGAGTAGTCAAGATGGTGCTGGGGGTTGATTAGTCAAGATGGTGCTGGGGGTTGATTAGTCAAGATGGTGCTGGGGGTTGATTAGTCAAGATGGTGCTGGGGGGTTGATTAGTCAAGATGGTGCTGGGGGTTGATTAGTCAAGATGGTGCTGGGGGTTGAGTAGTCAAGATGGTGCTGGGGGTTGAGTAGTCAAGATGGTGCTGGGGGGTTGAGTAGTCAAGATGGTGCTGGGGGGTTGATTAGACAAGATGATGCTGGGGGTTGAGTAGTCAAGATGGTGCTGGGGGTTGAGTAGTCAAGATGGTGCTGGGGGGTTGAGTAGTCAAGATGGTGCTGGGGGGTTGAGTAGTCAAGATGGTGCTGGGGGGTTGAGTAGTCAAGATGGTGCTGGGGGGTTGAGTAGTCAAGATGGTGCTGGGGGTTGAGTAGTCAAGATGGTGCTGGGGGGTTGAGTAGTCAAGATGGTGCTGGGGGGTTGAGTAGTCAAGATGGTGCTGGGGGGTTGAGTAGTCAAGATGGTGCTGGGGGGTTGAGTAGTCAAGATGGTGCTGGGGGGTTGAGTAGTCAAGATGGTGCTGGGGGGTTGAGTAGTCAAGATGGTGCTGGGGGGTTGAGTAGTCAAGATGGTAGTCAAGATGGTGCTGGGGGGTTGAGTAGTCAAGATGGTGCTGGGGGTTGAGTAGTCAAGATGGTGCTGGGGGGTTGAGTAGTCAAGATGGTGCTGGGGGGTTGAGTAGTCAAGATGGTGCTGGGGTTTTGAGTAGTCAAGATGGTGCTGGGGGGTTGAGTAGTCAAGATGGTGCTGGGGGGTTGAGTAGTCAAGATGGTGCTGGGGGGTTGAGTAGTCAAGATGGTGCTGGGGTTTTGAGTAGTCAAGATGGTGCTGGGGGGTTGAGTAGTCAAGATGGTGCTGGGGGGTTGAGTAGTCAAGATGGTGCTGGGGGGTTGAGTAGTCAAGATGGTGCTGGGGGGTTGAGTAGTCAAGATGGTGCTGGGGGGTTGAGTAGTCAAGATGGTGCTGGGGTTTTGAGTAGTCAAGATGGTGCTGGGGGGTTGAGTAGTCAAGATGGTGCTGGGGGGTTGAGTAGTCAAGATGGTGCTGGGGGGTTGAGTAGTCAAGATGGTGCTGGGGGGTTGAGTAGTCAAGATGGTGCTGGGGGGTTGAGTAGTCAAGATGGTGCTGGGGGGTTGAGTAGTCAAGATGGTGCTGGGGGGGTTGAGTAGTCAAGATGGTGCTGGGGGGGTTGAGTAGTCAAGATGGTGCTGGGGGGTTGAGTAGTCAAGATGGTGCTGGGGGGTTGAGTAGTCAAGATGGTGCTGGGGGGTTGAGTAGTCAAGATGGTGCTGGGGGGTTGAGTAGTCAAGATGGTGCTGGGGTTTTGAGTAGTCAAGATGGTGCTGGGGTTTTGAGTAGTCAAGATGGTGCTGGGGGGTTGAGTAGTCAAGATGGTGCTGGGGGGTTGAGTAGTCAAGATGGTGCTGGGGTTTTGAGTAGTCAAGATGGTGCTGGGGGGTTGAGTAGTCAAGATGGTGCTGGGGGGTTGAGTAGTCAAGATGGTGCTGGGGGGTTGAGTAGTCAAGATGGTGCTGGGGGGTTGAGTAGTCAAGATGGTGCTGGGGGGGTTGAGTAGTCAAGATGGTGCTGGGGGGGTTGAGTAGTCAAGATGGTGCTGGGGTTTTGAGTAGTCAAGATGGTGCTGGGGGGTTGAGTAGTCAAGATGGTGCTGGGGGGTTGAGTAGTCAAGATGGTGCTGGGGGGTTGAGTAGTCAAGATGGTGCTGGGGGGTTGAGTAGTCAAGATGGTGCTGGGGGGTTGAGTAGTCAAGATGATGCTTGGGTTGATTAGTCAAGATGGTGCTGGGGGGTTGAGTAGTCAAGATGGTGCTGGGGGGTTGATTAGTCAAGATGGTGCTGGGGTTTTG